ATTATTCATACCTTCGGTGTATAGGACGCAAGCAGATTTTGACATCAAATTTTGGGTAAAAAATGTGTCTTATACACCGAAAAATACGATAATTAATATTAACTATTCATATCCTGAAATAATTAAAAATTTAACTAGATCATTGATAAGAACTCCTAACACATATTAATTTTCCATCGGAACCAATTCGAAATGAAGCCGTTATTTAAGTACATGTTTTAGTTTATTTATTGAATTCATGAAAATATAATTTTGCTCTTCACAAATTACTACTGGCGCCATCTATTGGCTATCTGCGTAAGAATATCAGGTCTTAATGGGACAGTTACAGAGAGCTGATTTTACTTATTAATCGGTAGTATTTAGATATATGCAAAAACTGGTGTAAAATTTTACAGAAAAATTCACATATTTTTATAGCACTGTAAAGTTATGTCGGGGAACAGTTAAAGAACGAATTACTTGACGAAGAAGTAACAAATAAGATGTATGTTTAAAATAAGTATTCGGGTGAGATTTTTCACGTATTAACAATTATTTTTCATTTACAGAATATTTAGAAAATGTATGATGCTGAATTGTTTGATTTTGACACTTTTATGCGCGAAAACCTTTTTAGTAGATATATACCGCGCAGAGCACTCAGGTTGCTTTCTGTAAAATTCAACAAACAAATAAACATTTTACGTTTACGAATGATGCAAATTCTTACATACATTTAATTATTATTATTTTGCTATTATATTTTACTGTTCATTATTAATTAAAAATGGCTGGTTATCCTTAAGTTCTAGGACTGAAGGCAATAATTTTAAAACGTGCTTACATGAAATATACCAGTTGTTTTTCTTCTCCGGGGAATTTTTCGAGTCATGAACCGAGAGATTAAGATTCCGTGATTACCGCTTAATACCTCATTCAGAACATCAGATTTGTTTTTTAAAGAAGAAATAAACAAAACAAGAAATTTAAAAAAAAACAACTTGATTCTGTAACAATACTATCGTTTGAACTCAATTATTACAATAAATTATTCATGTTTAAATTTCATAAAACTATACGAAAACCACGCCTATCATCGTAAAGTTGACGTTGATAAATATGAAACGATTGAAGGGCACATATCGTAGACAAAGTGGTTGGCGTGGCTTTACTTGTTTCACGTGTTGGCGTGATTTCGAGCCCCATCCTTCGATTCAGGTGTGCAAAATTAGGAATGCGAAGCAGTGAATTTAACAGAATAACTTATTTTGTTGCTTCTTTCAGCCTGCCCTGTTGTCTCACCTCCAGGAGACTGAGATTTTAGCGTGTTCAACAAATATATCTATATAGAGATACTTAAACCGTAACAAATTAACAACGTAATAAAGTGAAACAATTCGGCGTATATATCATATTTGTTACATATTATATTCAACTGGTGAAGTTTTACAATATAAAAAATTCCACATTCCTGAGAGATGTTAAATTGCCCTCCATTCTGTAGGCTAAAAACCGGTTTTCGATATCCGTGGTGGGCATAGCACAGATAGCCCATTGTGTAGCTTTGTGCCTAACAACAAAACAAACAAGAAGTTAAATTCATCACATTAGTTTCCAATATACGTGGCATACTCAAAAAAAGATTTTGTACATTGTTATAGGGCAGATATTTCACTCCACTGCATTAAGATGAGTATTACCAACGATTTATTTAAAAATACCATGAACTTTCTGTCTTAGTATTTCTTTTTTACAGATTCGTAGTTAGTTAGCTTTTTTCCCGAAAGATGGCGCGCGCAGTGGTATAAGGTAGTATAATATATATATATATATGTGTGTGTGTGTGTGTGTATTTTTTACGTATAGATTGTATAAAATGATTTAACGATTTTTAAATAACAGGGCCTTATCTATCAACTTATCAAGGCTCTTATCTTTTTTCACAACGGACTTATAACGCGATAAACAACTTGTATAATAAAATTGTATATATATATGTGTTTGCAATATGTAGAATAATATTACGAATCGTAAAATAGAAATGTTTCCTCAATTGCTTGTACACCTGTTTACTAACAACTTGAAATGGAGAAGTCTATAACATATATGTTGCCCTTTTACACATGGTGCCACCGGGAATTTATTAAATTAGAGAAGAACGAAAAAAAAACCATAAAGTTTAACACTATGCAACTTTACCTCTTCGCGTATTTTATATTAAAAGAAATCCTGATAACGCAATTTCAGGTTCGATCCCTATGGTAGGCACAGTACAGATATTCCATTATACAAGTTCTCCAATGGTTCAGCTTGTACCGCTAACAATCGGGTTTCAGTACTGGTGGTGGGCACACTACAGATAGCCCATTGTGTAGCTTTGCACTTAACAACAAATAAATAAAACATTATACAGCTTAAACATAAACAAAGTTGTTTTTTCTAAATCTGATCCTTTCGAAGTGCACTCAATACAAATTACTTTACTGTTTATGATGTTACAGTATTTAGTAAAAAAAAAATTCTTAAACTTACAAATTATGGATTTCTGTCGTACCTATACATTGTTGCCTGTGTTATGATCCTACACGTGCAACCTGTATCATAATCGAGCTGTTGACTACGTTATGTAACTACAACTGTCGAGCATTCGTCAACACACACCATGTGTTGTGTGTTAATATTAGCTATATCAGGTTTTATTCCTCGGATCTGTTTGTCCTCTAATAAACTTCAGTAAAATAATCCTGGATCGTGAATTTTTAAAATAAGTAATTTTATGATA